GGATTACAAAAAATTCTATCATGGGTTACAAAAAACAAAAAATTCGATCATGGATTACAAAAAATTCTATCATGGGTTACAAAAAACAAAAAATTCGATCATGGATTACAAAAAAAAAAAACAATTACGATCATAGATTACAAAAAAATACGATCAAGTATTACAAAAAAATCTATCATGGATTACACAAAAAAAAAAAAAAAAAAAAAAACCGTACGGGACTCGCCGATTCACTGTTCAGACTCGCCGATTCCGTACAGTGAATAGGCGAGTCACTGTACAGAATCGTCCGGTTCTCTCTAGAACCGGACGATTTCCGATTTTTTAGCCGATACGATCCACTTTTTGCAATTTTCGAGTCGAACCGGACGAGTTCGGTTTGACTCGGCGTTTTTTAAAACACTGGTGTGAACCGTTTAGATTGATCTTTGTAAATGGCATGTAACAATCCTAAAATTTCAAAAAAAAAAAAAAAAAAAGGGAGAAAAGATGCTTTTAAATAGGTGATGGTCTGATTGAGTATGATTGTTCTTGGAGACCATCACTATTTTCAAAACTTTTTACTTGGTTTAAACTTTTGCTGCTGCTTTTGTTTGCAGCCTTTGCAGCTGCTGCTTGCTGCTGGCTACTTCCTTTAGCGGACGTGGTTTTCGTATGTTAAAAGCAGACGCTTAACGCGACACCTCAGGTATGAGGTAGAGCGTAATAAAATATTATAATAATACGTTATAAGAATTTAAATAGGAGAGGTGAGCACTCCCACCCTAGAAAAATTTGAGATCTCTCTCTCTCTGGTAGAAACACAGTGAACTCTCTCGAATCGAATTTTTTATCGGAAGCTCCCTCTCAAACATTTGTGGGTAAGTGACATCGTCTTTCTGAAAAATAGTCTATTTTTAATAAATAGTGATATTTCCATCTAGGATCTTTATTTTATCAGTTTTGTGTGTAAGTGACCTCATTGTCTCGAAAAATAATCCATTCTTTTTAAAAAATAAAACGAAATAATTATTTCTACTTATTATCATGAATTTTAGGCGCGATAAATTTTATGCGCACGTGACCTCATTATCTTGAAAAATAATCTTTTTGATAAAAATTGTGATATTTTATCTATGTTAGAAATTTCGAATGCTGTAAATTAGAAAAATAAATTTATTTATTTTTCTTGTTTATTGTTAGAAATAAATGTGATATTTCTTCTTTTAGTAAAAAATAAAATAAATTGTGATATTTCCTTCTACTGCTTTTGAATATTTAGACATTGAAAAATTCATGTGCAAATGACTGCCTTATTATTTAAAAATTGACATTTTTGCAATTGATTATAATATTATTGTGAAATGTTTATTTGTGGATTGATATCCCATAAATTGTGATAATTCCGTATTCTTGAATTTCTGTAAGAGTTTTTCTATACATATTAAATTGGCAATTATGCTAGAATGCCTTCACAAACTGCTACCTTTCTAAATTTGAGCCCAAAATATTTGATTGGTTATTTTTGAAATATTATAGAGAGTGACTGTTATTAATGGTTTAAGTGAAATTCATATTAATGGTTTCAGTGATATGTTGAGTACATGATATTGCTGCTTCCAAATGTTTAAAGAGATTTAGAAATAATTTAAGTATGCAAGTGGACTCATCCGGTACGCCGGTGAGGTATAAGTGGACCTACCGGTAGGGATTAAGTGGACTCATCCGGTAAGCCGGTGAGGTATAGGTGGACTTGCAGGGATTAAGTGGACCTATCTGGGACGCCGATAGGGATTAAGTGGACCTATCAGGACGCTGATGGGGTATATAGGTGACCTACTTGGGACGCCAGTAGGGTATTTTGTGAAATCCTTGGAATTATGTACTGCCGTTAAAAGTGTTATAAGCATTTCAATTACTCGGATTTTACTTAATTATGCATTTATTGAAAGTGAAACTGTTGATACAGTTCTGTTAATAGATCTCATTTTGAAAAATATTGATATCTTTCAATCATGATTATTTTTAGGTTTATGATGATCACTTACTGAGTAGCCAAACTCATCAAACTATGGTAAACATTTTTCAGGATAACTGCGGATTCATTTTGAGTGCTAGTCAATATCAACCTTGGAATATACTGTTGTTGTGCTAGCTTTTTTTATTTACTTTGTAAGACCTGACCTACTGTAAATTTG